ATCCTGTTTCTAAAAGGCACAGTGATTTGTCCTCTACTGATGTGTAGTGTAAAATATACAACTTGCAATTATAACTTTGTGGAGATTTTACAGTGAGAAAAGTGTCTTAATATACTCAACTCATAATTATTTAGATTCTGCACAATTTCTAAATGAATTACATTTTATTGCTTATACCTTCTGTTCTGTTTACCCATCATTAGTATCTCCGTGAATGTGAAGGGAGAGGAGAATAAATCAGTCTATTTTGTTCCCTCTAATTAACTGTAATTTGGGAGGGTGAAGAGTTATTTCAACTAGTGACAGAGTATAATATTTAGGTTTCTAAAATATTTTACTCATCTGGATTGCTTCTGCTTCCAACTTCTACTAATTAACAGGGCAGATGACAAAGATGACTTGGATTTCTGTTCCTTCCTCAATCCACCTAGGAAGCTATCTTTCTTTTTTATCTTGTAACTCTTCCTCTTTCGCTCATGAATCTGAGGAACAGGTACCTCCTCCAAAGAAAAATCTAACATTTCCCATTGCATTTTTGGTAATATATTTTCCTGTTTTCTCTCAGATCTTACTCCATTAACCACCTCTTCTAATTCCCACTCCCCTGCAGTTCCTCTCAGCCTGTAACTATGCCAAAATATTTTCTGCATTCTCCAACTCCTACCTGAACTTTGAATTTTTCTCTGGATTTTTCCCAAGGTCTTGTCTTTCCTTCTCAAAGAAATTTCATGAAAAATTAGTCTACCTTCACAATCTTCAGTTACCAATATTCAACTTGTTTAGTCTGTCATCTCATGGCTAATATCAAATATTATTTTTCTGTATTTTCTAAATTTTTGCTCATGATATATATTTCTTTCACATTAGAAAAAGATGATAAAAATATGTGTGTACACACATTTAAACAAACAAACAAAAACCTTTATGTATTTCGATGCAAGTTGTGACAAATACTGCTATAAAAACTCTTGACATGGAAGGATGAATCTGTTCAAATAACCTTATTCAACCCTCTACACCTGTTTCTCTGCTTTCCGTTACAGAAAAGTTCTTTTGCAAAGTTGCCTGTACTTGCTTTTCTATTTCCTTTTCTCTGATTCATTTTTGGACCCTCTCCAAACACGCTTTTGATCCCACTATTCCACTGAATCTTCCCTCATGAAGATCACAACTGGTTCTTTGTCAGTCCTCACCTACCTGACCTATCATTTGATGTTAGCCATCACTCCGTCTCCCACGAAGCACTTTATCTCGCTTTCCAGGCATCACGCAGTCTTGTGTGTTCTTTTATCTTGTGCTTCCTCCAGTATTCCACACAGGCCCCTGTCTTAGGTCTTGGGCACAACTAATTAGTTCCAAATAGTTATTAAACCCTTTGCCTAGAATGTTCTTCCATTGGTATCCACCTAGCGTTTTCTCTGACCATAGTCAGCAAAGCCTTTCCTAACTACCCTGCTTTAAATGACACCTCCTCCTCCTCCCAACCCTGGCTGTTTCTTGTCTTATAAAGCTTTATTATCATCCAACATGCTGTATATGTTATATGGTTCTTTTTGTCTCTCCCCACTACACCCCATAAGGGAAATAATTTTTATCTGTTTTTCTCACTGTGGAACCTCCAGCAACTAAAATAGTGACTGACACAGCAAACCTTCGAGGAACGAATGAATGACAAGCTGTCCTTATCTCAGCTAAAATTTCAAGTTATCTTCAGGCCCTTAAAAGGATTTTAGAAAATCTTTTTCTTAATAACTTGATAGGAGATGAGAAGTCTTCTTACCTCAAAATATTTATTTCTAATATTTTCTTATAACTAGATAAGTTTCATGTTGGTAACCTTTAAAACTATTTTCAGAAAATCATAATATCCACAAATATCTTTCATCATTTGTATTTATTTTTTGTTACATGCATAAGAATTATTTTGGAGGGAGGGATTTTTAAATTATAATTGTTGTTTAAAGTATTTATTTTTTGTTTGTTTTTGTTTTAAGGCACCTTGGATAATGTCTAGAAGACCCCCATTACAATGGCCCAATAAAGGTGTAGTGGAATTTATTAATTATCAGGCTCGATACCGAGATGATCTTGGTTTAGCATTGCAAGATATCACTTTCCAGACTCATGGGGAAGAGAAGGTATCATATATATTTCATATGTTTTAGTTTCCCTTTTATCTGAATGCATTCATTGTTGAGTATAATACGATATTGAATATAAGGTAGTCTTTTGTTACACAAAAGTAATAAAGACATGTAGTTGGTGTGTACTGAATATATTTTCCCTCTATAAAAAATACATTTCTTAATTAAATTGCTCATATACTACTGTGAAACATAATTTTTGTGTACTTAGTTTTTACTTCCCCTATAAAATGAATTGCAACAATAAGTAAATCGTTACCGCAAACACAATAAATCCATATATTTAACTATTTGTATACTTAAAGACATCATGTTTTCCAAAACCATTAGAGAGATGGGAAAATGTTTGAAATGCACTTTAGTTAACACAAACAACTTACAAAACTATCGATAGTATATGATATCAGTTTTATTTTTTATAAAAGCAACCGGACACATTAGCAAAAATATTTTTGGAGCAGAAATATTTTTGGAACAGAAGCAATCATTCTGAAATTTTCATTACCCCAATGACTTCAACAGATTTCTGTTTTTTCTGATTTATTTTGTTAGACTTAAGATTTTATATTAGGGCAAACGAACCACTTTAATATTCTATCTGCCTAACGTTCCTATTAATACCAAGATGCAAATCAGCAACCAGAAGATATTGTTCTTTTAGTTCTCATGGTCATAGGGAAATATTTAATCACTGGGATGTTTATGACAAGATAATTATTTTGGCCAGGAGTCAAAATCCTTAAACACTATTTTTGGCTGCCTATAATAGTTTTAATGCAGAGTTGCTTTGATACACCAGGGAAATTTACAGACATTCCTTTGAATTTTCTAGTCTATCTGGCAAAAGATTCCAGTGCCCTATTTGTTTCTTTGCTTGTTTGTTTCAATGAAGGGAAGATAGAGAAAATCTGTTTTCTGAAAATCTCAATAAAACCACTCATTATCATTGTTTCTTTTGCCCTAAACTTTAATGGGTAGTTTAGGGGTGGTTAAGAAATGACCTGGTTTTCCTGGGTCTGCTGGGGATCTTTGGTGAGGAGGTAACTAATTTATTCAAAACTAAAGGAAAAACATAGATTAGTCAGAGCCTTTCCAAAAAAGTAAAGATTATTTGGATAAAAACTGGTCCTTACAGGTCACCTGACATCTTCCATGCCCATTAAGGTTAGTCTTGTCTTACAAAAATCTGGATCCCATGACCTGATACCTGAATAATTTGTTGCCAGTGCAAAGGGCCTTGTTTCCTTACAAAAAGTAGAGTTTATGATTACTTTCATTACAGATTGGAATTGTGGGAAGGACTGGAGCAGGCAAATCCACACTATCAAATTGCTTATTTAGAATTGTGGAGAGAGCAGGAGGCAAAATTATTATTGACGGAATGATATACTCAACTATTGGACACTTCATGACCTTCGTGGCAAACTTAAATTATTCCACAGGTAAAGCCTTTGTTGCCAGTAATCTTTCTTAATCCACTCCAAGAAATCTGTTTTCTTTCTTTTTAAAAATCTGTTCCTTCCAAGTCTATAAATTCATTGTCCGAAGCTCATATCATTTTAAATGGAATATATGAAAAACTGCTATGTAATTGAATCCTCTTTGAATACCCTTATCATAAAGCATTCCTCCTAAGAGCGTTTATCATTTGAAAAACCAGTACATCTTTTTGATACAATTCCTTCATAATAGTAAGTACAAATAAAATTCAATAAATAGATCAGACTCGAAACACACTGATTTTTTTAAAAAAAAAATTACTGAAGTTTTTGCTAGAGAGTTGGGAATGTAGAATTCTTCGACTTTTTCCCATTGAAGTCTTAGAAACATTAAAAAAATAACAGCAGTAATTCCAGCGTAGCATCTCTTTTCTCAAAGTTCTTTGATTTGTCCATCTGGGGAATCAAAGAAACTTGATTCATTAAAGGGCCATGCAATAGTTTAAAAGTATGCCTCTTAAGTCTCAACGGACTGAATACTCAGCTGAAACTGGGTGCATGGGCCTCATCGCCTGTAATCCCAGACTTTTTGAAAGCGAGGGGGGTGGTCACCTGAGGTCAGCGATTTTGAGCACAGCCTGGGCCAACATGGTGGGAAAACCCCCGCTCCAGCTAAAAGTACATCACAATTAGTCCGGCCATGCGGTGGCAGCACCTGTAATCCCAGCACCAGCGGAGGCTCGAACGGAAATTGCTTGCCCAGTAAGGCGGAGTTTCAATGAGCCAAGATTGTGCACTGCACTTCAGCCTGGGCAACAGAGCCAGACTCGTCTCAAAAAAAAAAAAAAAAAATCTTTGTACTGTCTTCTACAAAATATTTACAATGATCATAATTGGGTTTAGACATATACTTGTATTCATGCATTTACCTCAAAACAAACTTGAGTAAAATCTGGAATTCTGGAAGGGAAAAGAATTAGTGGAAAAAAAGAGCCATCAGTCGTTCTTCTCTTATAGATAGAGTAAAATATAGTTTCACTAGGCATTTTGGTATAGAGTAAAGAAAACGAACTTAATCCTTTTTGAATTCTCTTCAACCACCAACTTACCTTCGTGTGGTGTGGACAAGAACTCTTTGGAACTTCCAGCTCACTCTGTAAAATAAGAATACTAACTTCTATCTTTCTGAGTTGGTATACTGATTGATAATATTATATACATACTACATTTCATATTTATTGTATGTTATATCCTTGACTACATGGCAGTAATTATCATCATTATTTTGGTGCTTGTTATTATTTTCAATAATAGGAATAGGAGAAAGAAAATCAGGAGACTTATGATGACTTAATATGAATTATAGTTTATTTTGACTCTCTTCTGTTTTTGTTTTAAATATAAAATGAATTTGTTGACTATAGTAGGTCTGATCATTTTGCTTTCTCCTGCTTTGTTTTCTGAGTCTGATTTTTAGCAATGTATTTATGCCTCATGACAGTATGATTATGCGGGACTATTTTCTGCTCTAGCACCCTGTTTTATTTTCTGGAACCCTTCAAATGAACCTGGATCCCCTAAACAAATATTCTGATAGCAAGCTGTGGGAAGTGCTGGAATTGTGTCACTTAAAAGAGTTTGTGCAGTCCCTTCCTGAGAAGCTACTGCATGAGATTTCAGAGGGTGGCGAGAACCTCAGGTAAGCTGCTAAGAGCAGAGCTTGTCCAAGTTATTCATTCCAAGCTCTTTAGAAATTTGAACTGGCATTGAAGAGAAATATAGCTGCTGAGCCACCAGGGCCTGTTTAAAGTGCACCATGGCCGATTCCCTCTAGGGAAGAGAAGGAAAAAGTACATTGGTAGCTGCAGCCTGGGAAACCACTGGCTAAGAGAAAGGAAAGAAAAAATAAAGAACAATGCCCTATGAAAAGTCACTATTTAATTCCATCTTCTTTTGTCAAGACTGCTACTCTGAGAGCCTCGTTCCTAAAAAAATGTTGTAAGGGGCTACTTTGCCTTCACCGTTGTTTGTTGCCTTAAGACAGCCCCCTTCATGTGACCAGAGACCCAAGGAAAGTGAGCTAGATCCCTGTAATGGCCTGCGTGGCAGGAGTCCCACCACCCCTTCTTTGATCACTTTCTCCCTACCTCTCTGTACTTCTGCAACATTGGTCTCCACGTTGTGTCATGAGTTTGCCAGGCCAATTCACGCCTACCACAGGGATTTTACATCTGCTGCTTCCTTTATCTGGAACAAGTTTTTACTGGAAATCTGCATGCCTCACACTCCATGTCCTTCAGTTCCTGTCTTAAAACTTCTCCTGAGGATTTCTTTGGCAAGCCCATCTAAAATGCCCACCCCACACCCACACTTTATACCCCACTTCTGTGTGTTTGAATTCTTCTTACCACTTATTATATACATATTATCCATGAAATTACTACATATAATGTTGCACCGTACTTGTATACCCCTCCTACTATGCTTTTTACTCAATTATCTTGCTTATTGCTTTCTGTGTCCCCATGAGAACGTATCTGCTACACAGAGATTTTTGTCTGTTTTGCTCATTGGTCTAAAGTCTGGCACTCCCTCAATAAATATTTCTTGAATAAAAGAACAAATGAAGTTGTGGGTGAAAGAAAGAATGAACAGTAGTACCATCAGAATTTTAAAACATGAAGTGTGTTACCATAAAGTCCATTGTTGAAATTATTATTATTATTTTAACAGCATGGGACAACGGCAGCTGGTCTGTCTTGCTCGTGCTTTGCTTCGAAAAACAAAAATTCTCATCTTGGATGAAGCAACAGCCTCCATCGACTTTGAGACGGACAAGTTGGTGCAGACCACAATCAGGAAGGAGTTTTCTGATTGCACCATCCTGACCATTGCTCACAGGCTGCAGTCTATCATTGATTCAGACAGGTGTGCTTGCTTGCTTTTCAGAAATAAAATCATTTCTGCCAAGATAAATATTGGGTATATGAAACACACTGATTACTTGCCAGTCATAAATAATTATATCTGTGCTGGGAGATACACAGTTTTCCCTAATGATATAAGAGGTATTTTCCAAAATAATTGAAGAAAAAGTTAAAGCTAAAAGAATATTAGAAAACTTGCTATAGACAATGACATAGAAGGTGTTTTCCAAAAGAATTGGAAGAAAAAGTCAAAGCTAAAAGAATATTAGAGAACTTGATATAGTTCCTGAATTAACTAGCACCTATATGTTGAACTGAAATAACTCATACACTGGTTTAAACTTTATATTAGCAGGACCAATAAAATGTGAGGTGGAAGACTGTAGGTTACCTGATGCTATTCTTTTCACATTTCAGGGTGCTTGTTCTAGATTCAGGAAGCATTGTGGAATTCGAAGCGCCTCAGAATTTGATACGTCAGAAAGGACTTTTCTATGAAATGACAACGGATGCTGGAATAACACAAGAATCAGGCACAAAAAATAAATTACTTTAGCTGTATGTTAATTTGCACAATAAAAAATCACTACAGTGCATTAGTATTTAAAAAGCAAAGATAGAAGAAAAATGCACAAGGGCAGGCCCCTGCTATGAGCTGGCACACACTCTCATAGGCACCAGTTTTGTTTGTTTGTTTGTTTGTTCGAGACAGAGTTTTGCTCTTGTTGCCCAGGCTGGAGTGCAATGGCACGATCTCAACTCACTGCATCCTCCGCCTCCTGGGTTCACGCGATTCTCCTGCCTCAGCCTCCTGAGTAGCTAGGATTACAGGCACCTGCCATCATGCCTAGCTAATTTTTGTATTTTTAGTAGAGCCGGGGTTTGGCCATGTTGGCCAGGCTGGTCTCGAACTCCTGACCTCAGGTGATCTGCCCATCTCAGCCTCCCAAAGTGCTGTGATCACAGGTGTGAGCCATGGCCCCCTGCCAGCACCACAGTTTCTAACCATCCTGGGCTGTACCTAGACTTCCCTCTTCCATTCGTGCTTACCTTATTCACATTGGCCAAAATGCTAAGTGCCACTTGTACTTTAAGTTCCTGACTTCACTTGGGAGTTCCCTTCTCAGCGTATCCCCTGATCTTCCCCTCTGCCCTCCACTGTGATCTAGACACCCCTTTTCTGTGCTCTCATTAGCCCCATGTGCATACCTTTATCATGGCAGGGCTCATACTCTATTTTAATTTTTAAGTCTGCTTTCCCCTTGAAGGCAAGTGACCAGTTTTAATCATCTTTGTATGTTATGTTCCTACCATCGTGCCTTTCACAAAACTGATACCCAACAAATGTTTGTAGAATGAATAGCTAGACATTTTAGAGTACTGTAAGTACTTATTTATATATAAACAGATGTGGGCTGGGCACTGTGGCAAACACCCATAATCCCAGCATTTAGGGAGGCCGAGGTGAAAGGATAGTTTGAAGCCAGGAACTTGAGACCAACCTGGGCAACAAAGTGAGATCCTGTCTCTACAAAAAATGAGTAAATATAATGAAAAAAATGAGACGGGCATGATAGTGCACACCTGTAATCCCAGCTACTCAGGATGCTGAGGTGGGAGGATCGCTTGAGCCCAGGAGTTCAAGTTTGCAGTGAGGGATGATACACCATGGTACTCCAGCTTGGGTGACAGACACCCTATCTTAAAAAAAAATAAGTTTTAAAAGTATATTTTGAGCTATTGTGCAATTTATGAAATGATGAAGAAATCACAGAAAAAAAGTTATTCAACTGCTTTTTGGAAACAGTAATTATATATTAACAGATTTTTTATAATTGTTTAGAATGTTTTATATTTTTACTATTTACCTTTGAGTAAAAAAAAAAGCCTAGTATTTTCTTTGGAACATTATTTTTTGGTTAATATACCAACCTCAGTGGGATATTTTATTACATTTATGAGAGGATTGTTGATTTGTAGTCCTAATCAGATTTAAAGGGCTTTTTCTTTAGTAGTTTTGTTTAAAAGAAGCAACGTTATGTCTCTGAATTGTCCTTCAAATTTAAAGTCTTTAAACTTCAATAGGATTTTCTTTCAAGAAGATTTTAATAAAATAGTTTAACATGTTCTTTAAAGCCCATCAACCATTTCTTTTGTCCTCCTTTCTTCCTCCCTGTGCAGCCCTGTACAACCTTGCTTCATTTCCTAAGGGTGTTTATGAAAAGTTGCCTTAAACTAGAAAACTTGTATTATCTAAAATCTCCTCCCTTAAGGATGTAAGCTACTTGAAGTGTTGTCCTATCTGTACAATCCCTGAAGTGCTTTGTAAACATTGAATAAATAGCTGTTGAATTGTATTAAGAAAGGAATCAAAATACTTCATTTAGATGAGTTAAAAGATGTTTTAGCTCCCTACTCCTATAATTTTAGTAAATCAGAGAAGCTGCATAATTTTAAAATCTAATGGGAAATCAACAGTAGCCTGGATAAATTGTGGTATATTCACATAATAGAATTCTATCTAGCTATGAGAATGAATGTACAACAGCTACTGCGCACATTAGGCAATCTGATGAATCTCACAAAGAATGTTGAGTGAAATAGCCACAAAAGAATATTACTATATGACTCCATGATTCTAATTATATAATTTTTTAAAAGAAAAACTAATTTATACTATTAGAAGTTGGGATACTGGTTATCCTTGGTGGGGAGGGTTATAATAGGGTACACAAGGTAGACTTATGGGATAATGGTAGCATTTTGTTTCTTGAAGTGAATCTGAGTACTCATTCAGTTTGTGAATGTTCACCAATCTGTATATTTAGAATATGTATAGTTTTCTGCATATATATACAGATATATCTTCATATGTAATACAGAGTAAAAGAAAAGCAAAAGTAAAAAACATAAAAAATGACTAAATCAAAGCTATTCAAATATAATTTTCTTGTTTTAAGAAATCAATATTTTATTCTTACTTCAATTATGTACATCAAGTTTGTTCAATTATTGATGTACACTAGAAGCAAAGCGCAAAGTACTCAAAGTGATTGGATTACAGCGAGGTAGCACATTTGTAATAAAAAAGTTATCCCATGATTGTATGATTTGTTTAAAGCTGTGACTTCAAAATAGATTCATAAAGTAATGATACATTTCAATATACAAAATATTTACCATAGCTGACAGAGAAAAATCCTAAGTAGCATTAAGTTGCTTTCTTTGAGGATAATGAGAACGTTTATTATTGAAAGCCCACGATGTGCCAGGTAATGTGCAATATATTTGGAACATGTGTCACTTTCAATTCTCACTCAATAATATCAGAAAGGCATTATCTACTCCATTTTATCAAATACGATACTAAGATTCCAAGAGGAGCTGGGCCAATAAGACAAAGAATCCAGGTCTACGTGAGTACAAAGCTGAGGATGCTCTTTCTAGTTCTCCACCAAGATGTCTCATTCCTAGAAGAGTCACTAAAAACTAGTCTGTAGTTTGAAAAAATTTCCAAATCTTTAAGAAAACAGGATTTTAAACCAATATCTTTGTGGGCATACTAAATAAAATTAAAGTTTGCGCTAGGGGTAGGATCCATGCCTCTTTAAATACAGTATTAGGTTGGACCATATAAAATATTCATTTCTGTAGGTCAAAAAATGGCTGAATAATGGCAATTTCATTTACTTCTAAACATAGCCTTGATATAGAAGTGTTTAGAAACATTTGATCCTCAATCGCTGATACTCTTTCTTCCAGTTGATCGAGTCGGTTACTGAAGCTTGTGCATTTGTCACGTATTTCTCGTGTCATGGTTTTCATCTCTGTCATTTCGTTTATGACCTTCTCTGCATTAATTACTCTAGCTATCAATTCTTCCACTCTTTTTTCAAGATTTTTAGTTTCTTTGCGCTGGGTACCGCACTTAATTCCTCCTTTTAGCTCTGAGAGGAGTTTGAATGGATCTAAAGCTCTTCTTCTCTCGTCTCATCAAAGTCGATTCTCCATCCAAGCTTTGATCCGTTTGCTGGTGCATGGCCTGCGCTCCTTTTGCAGGGGGGGAGCATGCCGCTCTGTATTTTTTGAATTCCAGCTTTTTCTGCCCCTGCTTGTTTCCCATTTCTTTTGGTTTATCTGCCCTCTAGTCTTTGATGATGGTGACGTACTGATGGCGGTTTTGGGTGTGGGTGTCCTTCCTGTTCTTGTTAGTTTTCCTTCTAACAAGTCAGGAGACCCTCAGTGTAGGTCTGTGGAAGATTGCTGGAGGTCCACTCCAGACCCTGTTTGCCTGGGTGTCAGCAAGCAGAGGCTGCAGAAGACTAAGAATACTGCTGAAACAGCGAGTGTACCTGTCTGATTCTTGCTTTGGAAGCTTCCTCTCAGGGTACCCGCGTGTGA